TACTTGCAATCTTTTAGCAACTTAACTACACACTTAAATAAACCAATTAGTCACTCAAATGTGTTTTGTAATCATCAAAATCATAGGTACAACAATCTCCCCCTTTTTGATGATGACAAAACACTTTGAGAATTAACACATAAATACTTCAATATTAACCAGAATTTCAGCACACAAGGTACTCTAGAAAATGACATTAAATTCAACATATTCTCTCCCCCTTTTTGTCATTCATCAAAAAGCACATAATCAACAAAAGCAATAAAATCCCCCTTAATTCATGCTATCAACCTTTAAAGCATCAAGAATATGAATATAATCATCAATATAGCACCATAGACAACCAAAGTTATAATACAATCATCAACTAATAAACTCCCCCTCAATAAGAGCATGTTATCATCAAAATCATAAACAATCATTCACAAAGCATGTTAACACAAGTGATGCCATTTCCATTCATAAAACAAGATAACAAGGTTCAAGACATATCCATTGTCAAATAAAACATAACATGCATAACCCTAAGATGTCCATCCTAAAGATTAGCCAAACTAAAGAAATATCAAGTCAGTTGGCATCAGGTGGGGGTGGAGGAAAAAAATGGTTAATAAGCTGATCAAGCTTTCCTCTCATTTCTGTCCGGAAACCATAAAAGTCAGTGTGCAGCTGCTGCATTTCAGATATCATTAACTCCATGGTTTCACGGTTTGTCCTTTGCATGGAGACTCGAAATGGTCTTGGGCTGTCATCTTCATGATCTTCTGCCCCTTGTTCTGCCATTTCTTGATCTGTATCACCTTCTTCTTCATCCCCTTCTTGTTCCCCTTTCTTTATCCAAGTGCCATTTCTAAACAAAAAGTCCATTTTCTCAAAAGAAGCTTTGGTAAGTGTAGTCCCACCGGGAACCGTTCCGAACCTAAATGATGTAAGATCAATATTGTTCCTCTTCGCCAATCTGGTAATTAGAGCACCATGAGGAAGTCCCGTAGTGGGTGAGTAAGACTTGATTATGCTCCGGAAAATGTATCTTCCTAGGTTCACCCTTTTTCCGTTAAGAAGATAGTCAAACCAGGGAAGATCACTGGCAAGAACATAAGATTTAGAACCCTTCCTCTGAGCAATAATGCGAGATATAATCCATTGCAATGCTCTATTTTCTGGTGAAAGAAACCCCACTTTAACTTGATTTTCAGTGCAATTGGGGGCAATTGTGGCTCTAACTAAAGCATGATTCACATCTTCAAACTCATCATCTCCTCCGTCGGGTATATCTAATGCAGCACAAATATCCCTTGGTGAAAATTGAAATGACACCCCAGCAACCATAGTTTTGCATTTATTTCCTCTTGGTTTCAGATTAGCATAAAATTGATGGACAACTTCATAATACACAGGCTCTTTAATTTCTATATAATTCTTCCATCCAAGTTCCCTAAAGATTTGCTCAACACGCATATCTCCTTGAGGAAATTGACTAAATTTCACACAATTGCAAGATTAACAGCCATATTCTTGATAATATCATACTGTGAAGAGGCTTGGGTATCCAAAAAGAGATTTGATTGTGGGATGTTACCTTCCTCTTGTGCTTGACCACCGGCACTAGAACTACCCACTTGTCTCCTTTTACTTCCAGCCCTTCTTGAAGCCATGAGAGAGAAAACTCAGCAAAACCCAACGAAAATTGGAGCAAAAAGCTTGTGGATTTGTGTTGGGTAGGCAAGGATTTGATGGTTTTTGAGTGTTTAAGGGATGGGTTTTGGAGATTTAGAGGGATTTGGGTGTTTGGGAGAGTGAATGGCGAGATTTGGGAGAGGAGAGGTAGCGGGTTTGGGGAGAAAATGAAACAGATCTGACTTGTTTGTGCGAGGAGAGAGAGAAAACCGAGCCTTAAAAATCTGCAGGAGAGCCGGCTATAATTGTAGAGTCGGCTGTGGTCTAGAGAGAGAACACTCTCGGGTTTTTGGTTGAGCCGGTTGTGGAAAGGGTAGAGCCGGCTCTACTGGCCTTGATTGGGACAAACAGAAAGTTTGGGGCTGTTTTGAAGGGAATGCACCTTAATTTGATATTTCTTCATTTAACTAAGTTTAAATTGGACATCAACTACTAGATAATGCAACTTTAGTCATATATCAATGTATGCATCATCAAATAATCAAGGTACACAAATCAAAGCATCAATATACACAAATTCTAATAAGCAAATACATTAATTTCAAAAGCCATATCAAGCACTAGGATCTAATATGCCAAGCTCATTAATTTGCATAAACTTTGATAATCACATCAAATGATATCATATTCAGCAAGCATATATATCAAAAAGTGAACACACATAAACCAATAGATAATAGTCATGCTAATGTGATTATACTTAATGAATAAATGCAATAGGGTAAATGATACCAATTTGAGCACATGAGTGGAGCATTCGAAAACAAATTTCCTTTGCACTTCCACTCCAACATTCTTGTTGAGGCATAAGTCTTTTTAAGATCTACTTTGCTTTCCTTTTGACTTTGCCATCAACTTTACCTACAAAACAAAATTAAGTTTTGATTTTTGGTACCCAAATTTGCTTGGGTCCATGAGGGTTAGTGCTTAAAGTTCCTTTTGGAATCCAAATTTGCTTTACTTTACCTTGAGCTATCAATCTCTTCAAAGGACATACATA